ATGTGATTCCATGAGTCGAGCATGCATTATATATATGTATCTATTTTACTCTACCGAGTCGCGATATAGTCGGCCGGGTATATAGTCGGCCGGGTACGACACCTATTGTGCAACCACTGATCAGTTGGGTTTTACCGAGCTCCATGTGGTCAGGTACGATTCTACCGAGCCTTATGATGGCCGGGTATGTTTTTACCGAGCATATTATGGTCGGGTACGATATGATGATGATGATGCCCACAGAGGCGTATGTTTTAAAAGTTTATGTATACATTCATATGTATCATGCATTGCATGTCAGTAGCCCTCAGAGGTACTCAGATTTTCAAGGTTGTATATTCTCTATCCCTGCTTACATTACTATTCGTATTTATGGTTCCCTGCCTTACATACTCAGTACTTTATTCGTACTGACGTCCTTTTATGGTGGACGCTGCATGTCATGCTGCAGGTCCTGATAGACAGGCAGGTGCAGCTCCCCCACCATAGAAGGTTGTCCAGTTCAGCAGTGATTAGCGAGATTCCTTCTACGGACTTGCCATGGTCTTGGTATGCATTTCTGTTATAGACATTATGGGTATGTTGGGGCCCTGTTCCGGCTATGTTGAAACACTTATGTTCATTTAGAGGCTTATAGACAAGTGTCGACTCATGTATAGTTTGGTATGCCTTGTCGGCTGGTTTTTGTTGTGTAGTCTTTAATGGTAGCGTGGTAGCTCATACCTTATATGTAGTTTCTTGATTGTCTGGTCATCCCCTGCTATGTATGTTCATGCCGTCATATTTTATTGCTGGTTGTCCATGATCTAGGTCTACCATTTATATTGATCTCATCAGCCCTAAAAGATAATAAAGAAAGTTAGATAAAATATACGTTGGTGCTCGGCAAGTATGGTCGGGTGCTAGTCATGACCCTCCAGTTTGGGTCGTGACACAATTCATTTGCCTTAGTTTCTAGAGATGTCTGAAGAAGTGGAATTAACATGTCTAATTTTCATAAACCAAATGTTTTCCCCTGTATTTTTCAAACATGGAATAGTCCTGCTACTGATGTAAGCTTTTGTCCTTGCTGTTGTATAGTAAATAATTTACATCTGAATATTAATGATATTATTCGTTTTAGTGTTTTGAAGTCAACGTCCAACTTATAAAACCAAGTGATGTGATTGTTATTGTAATTGATGCAAGTTAGCAAAAGTGAACTATGAGAGTGGTGACTTGGTGCTATTTCATGTCATCTTGACATATCAAGTAATGTTTTTGAGGCCTGAAAAAAGTGAAATGTATTACTTTAAGCTAAAAGATCAATAAAATGTGGATTGTTGTGATCATTGAGAAGCTCCGAGGTAATATATTTGATCGTGAACACTTTGAGATAATTGATGAGTCTATTTTATTTGCACCTACTGCTTGTGGGTATTGTTTCAGTTTTAGCTTCAAACTGTATACATATTATCCGGTATTTTTAAAAAAATTGCAAGTGGCTATAATCAAACTCTTACTTTTTCCTTATTCTGTGAAATCAGTGCAATGTAGTGTTCTTATTGAATTATAGTCACTCACTTTTTGTTATTCAAAAGCTTGTATGTTTTAGTTGATAGGTTCTTTCTTTGAGCTTTTCCTTTTCCTAAATACCATGGTATTGATTATGACTTTACACCCAACTAGAAGCAAAAACCTTTTGCCTGGACATTTGTTGGAACATCGGTCACCAATGTAAAGGAGTATGGTGAATTTGAATCAACTTCAGCCATGTTCTACAGGATTTTGTGGTCTAAATAGCATTTGTCCTGCTACCTATGATAAGGAAAAGGTGATTTCTGAACTACGTCTAATAGAACCAGTCAGAAACTACAAGAAATTGTTATTTGATGTCTTTCATTCTCTCTTTACTTTGTAGTGCGGATTTAATAGAACGAGCTTTCCAGATCCTTGACCAAATTCCTGGCAGAGTGACATGTGCATACAACCACAGTCAGGTGAAAATATCTTCTATTGTAATGTCCTAGATTTGCAGCCAGTATACTCCTAAAACTTATTTTTGTGTTTGCTAAACTTTAGGGCGTCAAAGGATTACGTGATACAATTGCTTCTGGTGTCGATAATGTTGGTTCTTCATCCTCTATTCAGGTTCATATGATGATGCAGTCGTTCATAAAATGATAGAACTCTCTGTCCTATCCCCCAATATCCACTTTATTCCACTTCAATTTCCCTCCATAGTGGCACTCTCATATGTGCATGTGCTTCAATTTAAAGTTGATCAGTGCTAGTTGTATAGTTGGCCTTAATAGGCTAGATTAACCTACTTTTGGAAGAGATTATTATAAAAGTTTATTAATGAGAGCTGACCTGATTGGCTTATTATTCAGTTGAAGGTGACACGTGACCCTCTTATGTATGCTTTTATCTGGTATTTTAGGTTCCCTATTATCTTGATGAAGAAATATGATGGGGACTGGGGATCTCAGAGCTTGAGAATCAGTTGAAAACTGCAAAATCCAAGGGTATTAAAGTTAGGGCTTTGTTTGTGATTAATCCAGGCAACCTAACGGGGCAGGTAATGGTTTATTAGATTTTGGAATCTCATCATTGATTTTCATCATTTAGGAAGAACCTACTGTGGTGGAAAATTCTAGCCTTCCCTTTCCCAATAAAATTTCAGAATGTTTATATATAGCATGAATAGCTTCTATGTATACCTTAGGTTCTTGTTGAGGCCAACCAACGAGCTATTGTGGAATTCTGCAAGAAAGAAGGCCTCGTTCTTTTGGCAGACGAAGTGAGTTTATTTCCCTTTAGATGCTTCTTTGCTTGATTATGGAATTTTTTTTACTTCCATGGGAATTTACCAGCGATTCTGAACTTGTTTGAGGGGGGTCACAATTTTTTCATTCCTGAGTATTGTGCAATTAATTCTCAAATTGTAAGCCTCTCATATTTTGTGGAACTCATGCAGGTTTATCAGGAAAATGTTTATGTGCCCGAGAAGCAGTTCCACTCGTTTAAGAAAATTGCTCGGTCTATGAGATTTTGAAAAAAGATATCTCTTTAGTTTCTTTTCTGTATCAAAAGGTGGATCGTACTACCTCCATCCATCCCTCTCTTGTTGGTGGTCTTTCTTTCGTTTGTCTGCATCTTACGAAGTTGTGGGGGAAAAGGGGGGAAAAGGGTTCTCATCTCATAATATATATTGGAAGCTGAAATGGAGATAAACAATTTCACATTATTTGAAGGCTATAACAAACAATGCATCTTTGTTTGTCTCAGTTGCAGGTATTGGAAGACAGAGCTACTAAAGGGAATAAAGAAAATGCAAATGGGGAACTTAAGGCTTACAAACCTTCAGAAATTTCTATGGGTTTGAACAAGAAAACCTCACACGCTGATTAAATTAATGGTGTGGTCAAGCTTACAAAAATGGATCAGTTACAAAATCAGGAGATGATGTGAAAGATGTTAAACGAGGCATGTATTAGAAAAGAAACTTGTAGCTAAGGGTATATCAAATGAGGTTTCTAATAAATGCTGATTTAAATTGATTAATATGTGTAAAGTGTTATCATGATACATAATTTTATTTTTAGTTTATTGTTAGGCTGCACCTTTGAACAATTGGTGCTGCTAGTTAATGTAGTACATGATATATAAGCGTACGCATTTGAACTTTTTCGTTATTTGATGTAGTTCTTGAGAGCTTCATACGTAACAATGATCTCAAAATATCTGGTAATATATGTTAGGTAATAAATGTGATTACTTGGTATATTTAAAAAAATATAATTTTATTATAAAAAAATAGCACTTTACATGAATTCTAGCAGAAGCTACGCTTGAACAATGTGGCCTATAAGGTTCCAAAAGCCACACTTTGAAAGTGTTGCTGCAGGACTTAAAAAGCGTTAATATAAGGGTATGCACAAGCGTGATCTTTGTACCTTATAGGCCACACTTTGAAGTGTGGCTTCTAAAGTAATACTTCAAAAGCGTGACCTTATGGAAAGGGTTATGCCAACTTAGGCCACCCGTTAAAAGCGTTATCTAAAGTTAAAAAGTGTGGCTTTTTCTCAAATGCCACACTTTATGCTAGTTTAGGCCACATTATTTAAGGGTGGCGGAAGGCCTAAAATGTTGTAGATATTCCATCCAAGTTCATTGTCTTAACTTTGATTTTTCTCTTTAATTTGCTATTGTTATATATACTGTTCAAAAGTAAATAATTCTATCTGTGATATTAGGCCATACGATTATCTAGCTACATTATCTACAGGTTCTAGTAGCAACACCTTACACCATTATCTTGACTAGTCTGCAAGTCCAGCCAAACCATTACATTATCACAAACCAATATTTCCAACGTAATTAGTAACTTAACAACGACGACACCGGTCCCATTTTTACCCTATAATCACCCTGCTAATTAGTCTCTCATAAACACCAAGCCATATAGAATTCTAGTTACCGGCACTTCAACCCATAACTTTTGATGCGAAATATAAATTTATGTGTAAGAATTTATTGTAATTGCAGGAACTAGTAAATATGAACCCATAACTTAAAAAGTTATGAGTTCGGAAGTTTACGTGTTTGGAAGTTTACGGGTTTAGAAATTATTGAATTTACGGGTTCGAAAGTTTAACGGTTCAGGAGTTTATGAAATTTGTGGGTTCAGAAGATTGGTTGTTCGAAAATTTATGGGTTTATGTTTATTGTATCTAAATTATTTATAAATACTCTTGACAAGTTATTTTTCTTAATTTACCAAACACCGAAAAATAAGTAAGATTAGTGCTTGTTTTCAAATAAAACATTTTCTTGGAAAACATTTTCCGTTATACAAAACATGTAGTCAAATATCTAAACCATATGATCGATGCTAAGTTTGTAGGGAGCTGAGATAGAGGGTCTAGCGAACCAAGATAGAGTGGTAGATTGATGTCACGATCCGGATTTCCCACCCCCGGGAGTCGTGATGGCGCCTACTAATGAGAGCTAGGCAAGCCAATCCTTAACTGCTTACATCGTTAACAATTACTTCTTTTAACAATTTTCGGCGGTAGCATGAAAGCAACGAAATTAAATAAATATGCGGAAGACTTAAATTTAAAGAAAGCTGAACAATAATGCGAGAATCAACATATGCCTCTACCCAAGAACTGGTGTCACATTACTCACGAACCTCTAAGAGTGCTAAATACAACCATTTGAAAGAAAATATAAACTGTTTGTCTCGAATATATGAGATAACAGACGGAAATAAAAGATAGAGGAGACGCCGGGCCTGCGAACGCCTGCAAGGCTACCTCAGTGTCTCACTGGACTAAAGGCTGGCTCCCGCGCTACTACTACTGTCCAAAACCTGGATCTATGCAAAAGAGCACAGAGCATAGTATTAGCACAACCGACCCCATGTGCTGGTAAGTGTCTGGCCTAACCCCGGCGAGGTAGTGACGAGGCTAAGACCAGACTCCAAATAAACCTGTACAGTTATATAATATATGGCGGAAAAATAAACAAGTAATAAGCAGTTAAAGCTGGGGAAGGGGAACATGCTTCGGGG